CAAAATTCGCGAGAGCATAATTTCGTAAATTTTCCACCAAATTTCGTACTTTTTGTTTTATTACCTTCACAAAAAGATTCTCTACGATTTCATAAGAAAAAATAACAAATTTTTTTTTTTTAAATTCTTGGACACTGGTGCGTGACTCCAGATTTGGGCCTTGGACCCTGAAAGGGTTAAGGCCAGCAAAGGTTGGTTTGAGAGATTTAAGAATCGTAGTGGCATACATAATGTGATGAGGCATGGTGAGGCTGCCAGTTCGGACCAAAAAGCGGCTGAAAAATATGTGTAGGAATTCCAGGGGTACATAGAGGCTGAAGGATTGAAACCCCAACAAGTGTTTAATTGTGACGAAACAGGCCTGTTTTGGAAGAAAATGCCAAACAGGACCTACATTACACAGGAGGAAAAAGCACTGCCAGGACACAAGCCTATGAAAGAAAGGCTAACTTCAATGTGTAGTAATGCTAGTGGTGATTGCAGAGTGAAGCCTCTACTCGTGTATCACTCTGAAACTCCCAGAGTGTTCAGGAAAAACAATGTCGTCATGGCTAATTTGTGTGTGATGTGGAGGGCAAACAGTAAGGCATGGGTCACTAAGGGCTTTTTCTATGACTGGGTTTACCATGTGTTTGGCCCCACTGTGAAAAATTACCTCCTAGAAAATAAATTGGAGCTTAAGTGCCTCCTGGTATTAGACAATGCTCCTGGTCATCCTTCAGGCTTGGCAGAGCAAATTTTGGGGGACTTGAGCTTCATTAAAGTAACATTCTTGCCTCCTAATAACACTCCTCTCCTCCAACCCATGGACCAGCACGTCATTTCAAATTTCAAAAAACTGTACACCAAAGCAATGTTTCAAAAGTGCTTTGAAGTGACCTCAGACACTCGATTGACTCTAAGAGAGTTTTGGAAAGATCACTTTTGTATCCTCAATTGTGTAAACCTTATAGGTAAGGCTTGGGAGCGAGTGACTAAGAGGACCTTGAATTCTGCTTGAAGGAAATTGTGGCCAGAATGTGTAGAAGAGAGGGATTTTGAAGGGTTTGGGGCTAGCCCTGAGGAGCCTATGCCAGTTGTGGAATGTATTGTGGCATTGGGGAAGTCCATGGGGTTGGAAGTTAGTGGGGAGGATGTGGAAGAGTTGGTGGAGGACAACGATGAAGAACTAACCACTGATGAGCTGCAAGAGCATTTGCAACAGCAAGAGGACACAGCTGAGGAAATTGCTTCAGAGGAGGAGAGAGAGAGAAATTTAGGAAGTTGCCTTCTTCAAAGATTAAGGAAATGTGTGCAAAGTAGGTTGAACTGCAAACCTTTATGGAAGAAAATCACCCTGACACAGCTATTGCAAGCCATGCTGGTGACTTTTACAATGACGATGTTGTGAACCACTTTAGGAAAATCTTAAAGGAATGCAAGGTACAGAGCTCTATGGACAGATTTTTGGTGCGACAGTGGTCCAGTGACTCTCAGGTTGTTCCCAGTGGCATTAAAAAAAGAAGGGAAGTAACCCTGGAAAAGGACTTGCTACCTAAAGTCCTTATGGAAGGGGATTCCCCTTCCAAAAAGTAATAAACCTCCATCATCTCCCCTCCTCCCATCCCATCACTCATCATATCTGCAATAAAGGTAAGTGTCATTTATTCTTCATTACACAATATACAGTGGACCCCCGGTTTACGATCAGCTCCCATTGCGACCAATTATGTAAGAGTATTTATGTAAGTGCGTTTGTACGTGTATGTTTGGGGGTCTGAAATGGACTAATCTATTATTTATTTTTTTTATTATCACACTGGCCGATTCCCACCAAGGCAGGGTGGCCCTAAAAAGAAAAACTTTCACCATCATTCACTCCATCACTGTCTTGCCAGAAGGGTGCTTTACACTACAGTTTTTAAACTGCAACATTAACACCCCTCCTTCAGAGTGTAGGCACTGTACTTCCCATCTCCAGGACTCAAGTCCGGCCTGCCGGTTTCCCTGAACCCCTTCATAAATGTTACTTTGCTCACACTCCAACAGCACGTCAAGTATTAAAAACAATTTGTCTTCATTCACTCCTATCAAACACGCTCACACATGCCTGCTGGAAGTCCAAGCCCCTCGCACACAAAACCTCCTTTACCCCCTCCCTCCAACCTTTCCTAGGCCGACCCCTACCCCGCCTTCCTTCCACTACAGACTGATACACACTACAGACTGATACACTCTGTATCGCTCCATTCTCTCTACATGTCTGAACCACCTCAACAACCCTTCCTCAGCCCTCTGGACAACAGTTTTGGTAATCCCACACCTCCTCCTAACTTCCAAACTACGAATTCTCTGCATTATATTCACACCACACATTGCCCTCAGACATGACATCTTCACTGCCTCCAGCCTTCTCCTCGCTGCAACATTCATCACCCATGCTTCACACCCATATAAGAGCGTTGGTAAAACTATACTCTCATATATTCCCCTCTTTGCCTCCAAGGACAAAGTTCTTTGTCTCCACAGACTCCTAAGTGCACCACTCATCCTTTTCCCCTCATCAATTCTATGATTCACCTCATCTTTCATAGACCCATCCGCTGACACGTCCACTCCCAAATATCTGAATACATTCACCTCCTCCATACTCTCTCCCTCCAATCTGATATCCAATCGTTCATCACCTAATCTTTTTGTTATCCTCATAACCTTACTCTTTCCCGTATTCACTTTTAATTTTCTTCTTTTGCACACCCTACCAAATTCATCCACCAATCTCTGCAACTTCTCTTCAGAATCTCCCAGAGCACAGTGTCATAAGCAAAGAGCAACTGTGACAACTCCCACTTTATGTGTGATTCTTTATCTTTTAACTCCACACCTCTTGCCAAGACCCTCGCATTTACTTCTCTTACAACCCCATCTATAAATATATTAAACAACCACGGTGACATCACACATCCTTGTCTAAGGCCTACTTTTACTGGGAAATAATTTCCCTCTTTCCTACATACTCTAACTTGAGCCTCACTATCCTCATAAAAACTCTTCACTGCTTTCAGTAACCTACCTCCTACACCATACACCTGCAACATCTGCCACATTGCCCCCCTATCCACCCTGTCATACGCCTTTTCCAAATCCATAAATGCCACAAAGACCTCTTTAGCCTTATCTAAATACTGTTCACTTATATGTTTCACTGTAAACACCTGGTCCACACACCCCTACCTTTCCTAAAGCCTCCTTGTTCATCTGTTATCCTATTCTCCATCTTACTCTTAATTCTTTCAATAATAACTCTACCATACACTTTACCAGGTATACTCAACAGACTTATCCCCCTATAATTTTTGCACTCTCTTTTGTCCCCTTTGCCTTTATACAAAGGAACTATGCATGCTCTCTGCCAATCCCTAGGTACCTTACCCTCTTCCATACATTTATTAAATAATTGCACCAACCACTCCAAAACTATATCCCTACCTGCTTTTAACATTTCTGTCTTTATCCCATCAATCCCAGCTGCCTTACCCCCTTTCATTTTACCTACTGCTTCACGAACTTCCCCCACACTCACAACTGGCTCTTCCTCACTCCTACAAGATGTTATTCCTCCTTGCCCTATACACGAAATCACAGCTTCCCTATCTTCATCAACATTTAACAATTCCTCAAAATATTCCCTCCATCTTCCCAATACCTCTAACTCTCCATTTAATAACTTTCCTCTCCTATTTTTAACTGACAAATCCATTTGTTCTCTAGGCTTCCTTAACAAGTTAAGGACTAATCTAATTCACAATATTCCTCATGGGACCAAATTCATTCAGTAATGGCACCTGAACATACTTCTGGAATGAAATAATATCGTAAGCCGGGGGTCCACTGTATATTTTGTGCATGTATCCTTGTTTTTGTGTGTGTAGAAAAATGTATATTTCATGTGGTAAAAATATTTTTTTTTCGTACTTTGGGGTGTCTGGAACGGATGAATTTGATTTCCATTATTTCTTATGGGAAAAATTAATTCGACTTACGATAATTTCGTCTTACGATGTGCTCTCAGGAACGGATTAATATCGTAAGTCGGGGGTCTACTGTATCTGGGCACCTCTGGAAAGACAGTGATTATGTGTGAATGATGGTCGCCCTGCTTCGGTGGGAGACAGCTGACGCACTGAAAAAAAAAAAAAAGTATCATTATTGTTATTTATATATAGAGAAAGCTTAACCCATGTGGGTTTTTCAGGTCGAGTTGCAGAGGCTTGAGCTCGTTTGTTAATAACTCCATTGTACAATACAGTATAGTTAAAGTGTGCATACTTGTATAGATGCTCAATGAAAATGACTGCATGTCCTTGCAGGAAGATTTGGATAGATTGATCAGGTAGAGAGAGAGATGATGGAATTTTATGGAGATAATTGCCATGTAATAGAAATGGGAGAGAGAGAGAACTGATTATGCAAAGAATATAGATTGAGAGGCAGGGAAATTAGGGGTACATACCAAGCATCTAAATGTTAACCACCCCAATTTTTCTTAAAGTATGTACTGTACTGGGCTCTCAGGACACATGGTTTTATTTTGGGAGGAAAAACCAGTCAGCAGTCCAGGTAGGGTGCAACATTTAACCCCCACAAAGCTGTGAGACTTCATTAATGTCTTCAACAAGTCAATTTTATAAATGTATCAGAATCTTTTTAGGGATATATTTAATGTACTCTTATGGAGATTGTTAGTCTCCCATTATAATAGAGTTTTCATTTATATTTGATATAGTAAATGTTTTCTTCTATGGATCCTGTTGCCTTGGAAGGAAATAGCCAATGAAGTAAAAAAAAATAGAAAATGTGGCCTAGAAATAGATAACTACAGTATACACTGTTTGTGAATCCTTAAATTCACTTAATATATTTATTCAATGTTTTATATGGTACTATTGGTATCAAGTGACTATGTAATCTAAGATGTTCCATGAGCCTAATTTGCTGAAATCTTTCTTATTGTTTTGCAGGATGCATTTCCTTCGACACCTACGAGACTTCTTTCAAGTGACATTTAAAATTGATGAATACAAAGAGAAATTCACTTCTGATGAAATGCCAGAATCAAAAACAGGAGCTGATAAGTTATTGCTTACATGTGTAGGGGTTGGTTATACAAATATCAGCAAGGGACAAACTTAGTGTAGGAAATTTATGCACTATTTTAAATCATTTTGCTGTTGTTAAAATTACCACAGAACTAATTCGGTTATGTTTCTCGTAACTGTTTGTAAATCTTTCACAGAAATATTTTGTATTAAATTAAGTCATAACCAAAGATGATCATTAATTACTTAACCGCTAAACCATTTCGTATATGGAAAAATAAATTTCCTGTGTGTGTAGGAAAATTTTGAAAAAAAAAAAAAAAAAATTATATAGAATGCAAGAGTGCAATTTCTTAAAGAATTTTTTTTTAACACATCAATTGTTTCCCACCAAGGTAGGGTGGCCCAAAAAAGAAACTTTCACCTTCATTCACTCTGTCACTATCTTGCCAGAGGCACACTTACACTACAGTTTTAAAACTGCAACATTAGCACCCCTACTTCAGAGTGCAGGCACTGTACTTCCTATCTCCAGGACCCAAGTCCGGTATTATGAACACAGTTAAAGAATGGCCTGTGAGACCTGGTCATAATGGGAATTGGAGCAAACAAACCCAGCAGTAGACTATAATGTATATTTTGCCTTCACCCACTATATACAGGTATGTACACTATGTACAGATAGAATAAGTGTACACCACGATGACAGATGGCAAAGAAGTCAGAGTGCACCATACTCAACCAGCAGGTAGGCAAGTCTGCCAATGCTTACCGCAAGTTAATCACGTTGCTTCAGCTTTGGTGGTCTTGCCTGTGATTGGACAATGAACCAAGGTACTGACTTAACGGCAGGTACCCTATTTATCGTTCAATCCTTAGCACCCGGTTCGTTGGTTGGGAGGCAACCTATATGGGAGTGTGACATACGCCGAATGTATTGTAACATACTCTTTGCATGCCACACTCCCATCCCAAAAGGGCACCAATAAGCCTCCACCTCCATGGGTAGCGTGTTGCCATGGCACTGAATAATAATGAAACTGCCTTTCCTCTCAACCATCCAACTCATTAGACAGGGCTCAACTTTTCTCAAGACTCAAAGTCAAACTCTATCCTAGAGCAAGACAGCAGAAAGTAGGGCTAATGTTGGTTCGAGACACCTGCGGACAGCAGCAGAATGTCCCCTCACTAAAAAAAAAAAAACACCAATATCATTAAACATTTTATAAAGGGGGGAAGAAAAAAGAGCTAAGCTACCCATATGGTCCCTAACACATCCTAACCTAAATTAAACATGGGAAAGGGAATCAGCTAGCTTATTTTCCTTGCTGGTAATATGGACAGGTTTAATATGTAAGATTGTGACCTGAGACTCCATCTCATCAGATGTGTATTGCGGTTTTTCTTGGTGTTGAGGTAAACGAGAGAATTGTGATCGCTGTAGACTGTGACCACTTGGGATGACTGTCCCATGTAGACCTTGAAATGTTCCAATGCAAGTATCAGAGCTAGAGCTTCTTTCTCAATGGTGGCATAAGTCCTTTGGTGAGGTTGATACTTGGCAGAGAAGTAACAGGCTGCAACCACTCTTCCCCAGATTTTTGTAGTACTGCCCCTACCCGATTCGCATGCGTCAACCTGTAATACAAAAGGTTTTGAAAAATCAGGAGACAGGAGAATGGGTGCAGTACAAAGTAGCTGTTTGGCTGTAATAAATGTGTGTTGACACTCTGGGGTCCATTTAAATTTTTGTTTATGACTGGTAAGTGAGGTTAGTGGGGTTACATCTGGAAAGTTCTTACAGAATCATCTGTAGAAACCTACCATCCCTAAGAAATGCTGGAGGGATTTTCTATCATAAGGTACTGGGTGATTCTTAATGGCAAGAATTTTAGCAAACTTAGGGGCTACTTTACCATTACATACTTCATGGCCTAAAAAAGTGATAGTAGACTGGCCAAAAGATGACTTGTGCAAATTAACAGTTAACTGGAAACTCTTAAACTTCACAAAGAGAGCTTTAAGTCAGGAAACATGTTGGTCCCACGTATTGGAAGCTACTACTATAGCGTCCAGATAAGCTGCCATGCCTTCAAGTCCTTTAATAGCCTGATAGATCAGCTTCTAGAATGCTGCTGACAAGTCTGCATTCCAAATGGGGTCACTGCATATTGATAGTGACCTGGAATTACAAAGGCAGAGATTTCCTTCACTTTATCTGTCAAAGGTACCTGAGGGTAATCTTTAACCCTTTCAGGGTCCAAGGCCAAAATCGGAAGGGGTGCCCCCAGTGTCCAAGAAATTTTGAAAAAAAAAAAAAAAATATTTTTTCTTGCAGAATTAAAGATAATATTTTTGTGAAGGTAATAAAACAAAAAAAAAAATTTCTGATCAGTACTTACCGAGATACAGCGGTGGGAAGTTGACCTAAAATGACCGGGTGGCGGCAACATCAGTGACTTCCGCAAAATCGCATTTTTTTATTTTACGTTTTTTATACTTTTTTCTTTTCTCTAATTTTTTTCTTTTTCTAATAACATTTGGGCCTGGAGAGCCAAAATTATTTTTTTAGTGCCCCCTCCGGGGGAAAACACAATTAACCTGAACTAATGTAAGTCAACGTATATTCTTCACTTGTTTAAAAGTTTTTGAAAAAAATTATAAAATTGGGAGCGGTTAAATTGTTTTTGATAAAGTTAAATAATATGGTTCAGTCCATATCAAAAAGAAAACCGTCTTCACAAAAGCCTATGCTGTCTGCACTTTAGCATATTTCCGGCACACAGGTGTGTTGGCCGATTTCTTGGATGCTGATCCCATCCACAGCATCCCTAGCGGCCAAGCAGGTCAACGTCCATTTGTTTCTCCTTTGAGGATGGCCCTATGGCCATGGGACAACACCAAACCGTTTCCCACCACGACATTACAAATTAAAGAAAGAAGTCGAAGAGATTATTCATCCTTTCACCCTTGTTTTGGGGCATCCCAATAAAACTTTTTTTTTGGGAAGCGGGAAAACGAAAAATGTTTCCAGGAGGAAAGGGATAAACCCCCAAAAACCCCTTTAAAACAACATCGTCTCTCAAGATTTCTGTTTTTTCCCAACTTTCGACCACACGTAAAGCAGGCTACGGGTTGGCCAAAATTTTGGGAAAATTAAGTGCCCAACCCCAAGCTCCCACCTGTCTATTTTAACCTTTTAGTTCATGTTCTGCTGTTGTTGTTCAGCTCAGCACATTTATTTCAGCAAGCCAAAGGTGAGTTTTGTGGTAATTTTGCCGTCCAGTGGGAGTGTATCCATGTGCTGTGGGTGGGAGAGTGGAAGTGGCCGTTTTCTCGCCTCGCCCATGCTACACTCACCCACGCTCCTCGCCACCACACCGCATTCCACCACTATGTACTCACTCCCTCTACTGTGTTTTCTGCTGTTTTTCGTGTGAATTCTTTGCCAGAGCTGTGTATCCGAGTGCCCGAGGTCACTCGAAGCCACGTGGATCACTAAGCCACGTGGATCAGCAAGCCACATGGCTCAGCAAGCCACGTGGATCAACAAGCCATGTGGATCAGCATGCCACGTAGATCACGACACCACGTGGATCCCAATGCCACGTGGGGCGTGGACGAAGCCACATGGATCTACGAGCCACGTGAGTTACCGATGCTGCTGCCCGACGTTACGATGTCTGCCTGACATCACCTCGAGATGTCTGCTGACATCACAATGCTACTGACGTCACCTCTTGATGTCACACCTGACATCACATGATGTCACATCGAGTGTTTCAGTAATTATGTCGGTATTGTCGAGAAGATTGAGAGAAGATATATGTCGTGTTAATTAATTCCTCTCGGTCAGTGTTCTCACATGTGAGTGTATGGCTTAGTGTCAGTTTTGTGCACAGAAAAGCATCATTTGCTAGTTTAAGCCATGTTGTACCGCATGTACCGCGGGTGTGTGTAAGGTTTTCCGTGTGTCCAGTGTGGTCTGCGGCCAGACCCTTGTGTAGCACTTTGTTGCCTGTACCCGGTGTGACCAGCGTGTTTGACAGCTAATATTAGTCAGCTCTGAGCGTATGAGCCCCTTTGTACAGAAAGCTCTTATGCTTGTCGCATAAGATGTCACAGATGTTCTGCAGAATCGTACCTGCTACGATTCCCATCGAGATTCGTTTCACCTCACCTCCAGACCTTCAGAGTGCAGTTATATGTAGAGAAACAAGTCTGGGGACGCTTAGACTAACCTCTGCTATAACTCCAACTGCCGAGAGAATGACAAATGACACTCGTCAAGCCACAGTTAGCCCTGTTGGCAGGCGCTGTGTCAGCCTCGTGTCATAGCTTCAGTGAGCTCCTGCACAAAGAAGATGTCACTTTGACTGCTAGCTCACTCACTGCAGTATGATGTATGATGTTACGACTCCCAGATGTTTCACCCAGTCATCTCTGCCATGACTCGCTCCACGACTCACTCCATGCTCGCCGGCAGTGACAGCCCAGCGACAGTACCAGTCGAGAAGTGTCCTCCTGAGTCGCTTGCCAGAAGTCCTGCCCAGTTGCCGAGTTTTGACGACGCCTCACTCGAGGGCACTAGCATGTCGTGCCCCAGGTTGAGTGAAACCTGCAGTGACTCCTACGATGACTGCTTCACTGTTCCAGAGGAGACCATACCCTGTTAAGTCACAGCTCAGCCACAGCAATGTCTCCTGTGTTGCAGTATCTGTCCAGACGCAGGAAGGCATGCAGTGATGCCCTTCGACGCTCACTGCCTATGACCACGATGTTTAGCACATCCCCGTTTTTTTTTCTTCCCTCCCTGTAGGAAGTTTTTTTTTTTCCATGTCCATATGTATATACGTACATGTTTTTATTTTGTGTTCTGTGCCCTGTTCCTACGAGAAAGAGACCGATTTTTTTTTTACCACCAGTATTGTCGCGCCGGGATGATGCGAGGTAGGTGGCCAAGCGTATGTAGACAGCCTGTACTGTCTGTACAGACAGCATATGCTGTCTGCCAGCTTAGTTCATATTTCACGCACTCAGGTGCTGCCCTCTCCAGGCCTGCCCAGGCCAGTAGGACGCTGGTCCCACTCACACTCACGCACTCTCTCAGTGGCCCAGCAGCAGTTAACAGTCCTACTCACTCTCTCCCTCGTGAGCATGGCCCTCCTGGGCCATGAGCACAACACACAAGCCTGTGTACCCACCACGACATTACAAATAAAGAAGCCTC